CACAATGCGCTGGCACTCGACCAGTCCTTCGGAAGTTGGAGGAAGTAAAGAGGACTATGGCTCACCTGAATAATAGGACAGGAGTCGAAAAAGCTGGCAAACAAGTTGACATTTATGGTAGCCGACATGAGCACCAAACGAATCTCCGGACGTGCGAGGACAAGACACTTCATCAGTCCGAGAAGGCAGTCAGTCTGCCAATGACGCTCATGCACCTGGAGACGATAAAGATACATTGAACACAACAAAAGGACCAGTGGAGCCCTGTAAAAATAGGCACGCATGGTCTCACTCCCGCGGTCTACTAGTAGATGTAATACTTGTCCTAGACTCGTTCTTTGTCACTGGGAGCAGCTGCCCAAAAAAATTCATGGAAGATAATATTCAGGGGGGGGCTGGGGGTGGAAGTGGTAATTGAATCATTATCAAACCAGTAAGCCATCTACATAAGGAAGAAGCAACTAGAGTGGGGGCATAAGAAAGACATGCAAGCCATGGTACCATCCAACGAAAGGGAGTGCGTAGCCTGTCAGGCGTTGCGGGAATTCGAGCAGTAACAGCGTGTGTGCAGCACATGTTAAAAAGACGCCGGCAGAGCCTAGACGCTCTCAAGTACCTTAAGGAAGTATTCGAGAATTTAAACTAAGATATGCTACGAACAACTAAAATATTCGTGTTTGGCCTATCAGGCATCGTCAGCCGGTTATATCACAAATGCGGACAGGATGGCTAGATAGTTGAACCCGGGTGCAAGCAACTACTACGATGGTGGATATTTTGCCTATTCAGCTAGCAGACCCCGTTTTATCGGCTAAGATCAGGAATACTAAACTCGACATAAAATTGACGGTGAACTACCTGGCTTCCTCCTCAGCTGTGGCATTCAGCTCTTCAATATTATATTTGAGTTCTTATTTGCTATTTAGTTCGTGTTAGTAATTAGCCTTATTAGAAACATGTGTCCCTGCTCCCACTTAGTCACAAGGCTACTAGTCTAATGACCATCCTCTTCCGGATTCCTACCGTCTTTTTAAGCTATCATTTCGTCCTGAAGATCCAGTGGGGGCCCCCGCAAGCAGTCGCTATTCTAGCCTTAGTATCTGAAACAGTAGAACATGAAGAAGTAGAATGACCACTAGGAAATACCGGAATTGAAAGCTGAAATACTGTAAGGCTTTCTGTTTTTCTGATCATTGGCTCACCTCGTCCAGAACAACTACGTCGTACTCCTTCAGAAAGGGGTCTGATTGCATTTGACGGAGCAGAAGGCCCTCGGTAAGGAAAAGAATCTGTGTTGCCTTTGACTTGTGCTTTTCAAAGCGCACCTATCAATTGGAAACACGTTTAGATCAATATGGGAATAATTTTAAAAAAAACGCTCAAAACATTTGCAAAAAGAGACTTATTATCTCTTCAATTTGGTGTTATTTGTCAAACTGAGAAATATTTGATGCAGATCGTACTTGAAAAAAGACCGTCGCTAGGGAGTAAAATATATTGAAAAGCAGAGAAGAATGATGCTAGTTTGTATATTTGTTCTATTCGCTACTAACTGCGTGTTAGTAACCAGACTTATTAGAAGCACGTGCGCCTTTGTAGAGGTTAGTTACCCATCGATTCCGCTTGTTCCGTGTCCGTTGACCTCGTTCGCTGGATTTGCATTCGTTGAATCCCCTCATTCCTTATCCATTTCCCACTGTCCTCGCGCGCTTATAAGCCGATAGCTACACGTCAGTATTATTCGCAAGACTATTCGTCTAATCATTTCAAAGGTATGACCATCCATTTTTGATTTCTCTCCCACCGTGTTAACTATGATGCTCCGTTTATCTTACTATTTATTCCGACTGCCTTTTGACATAGCCTTTGAGCTCGGTTGCGTCTATTGCAGTGAATAAAGTAGCGCTGAATCAAGGAAATCTGCAGAATTCGGCCATCTTTCTGTCTTTTTTTGACTCGGGTCTCTAGGTTAGGAGCGTGCGACAGAAGATTGTTTTTGAGGCGATGGAGGCATTAAATGAATTTAATTTCAGACAAACATATGTAAGCTATTCGGCAGTGGGGTCCCTTC